CTCACCACTTCTCACTGTCTCAAGTGCTTCACCCTGATAAGTAACCATCATTTCTAAATTACCAACAGATTGCTAAGAGAGCTACTTGCCTCTACACCAAACCCTTCAATCTATTGTCAATAGAGCTGAGTGACCCTTTAAAAATAACTTATATCATGTCTCATTAAGGCTCTAACTCTTAAGTGTCTTCTTATCTCACCAGAGTATAAAAGAAAGTCCTTATAATGGCCCATAAAGGCCCTACGGGATCTGCCCCAATGCCACTGCACTACAACCACTCTTGTCACTTTCACTCCGGCTTAATCCACACCAGATGCACTGACCTCATGGCTCTTCTTTAAACAGGTCAGCAGGCTTCTGCCTTAGGACCATAGCTCTAGTTCTGCTTGGAATATTCTTCCTACAGGTCTAATAACTACATGTCTAACTCATTCACGTCCTTTCAGTCCTTGCTCAAACCTGACCTTCTGAAAGAGGCTACTTGGAGCATCCTGTTTAGTACTGCAACTTACTCTGTCACCTCTCTAACCCTCTGCCTGCTATTTTCCTTTTGTTCCATAACATGTATCATCTTCTAACATACTATATAATTTACTTATTCATTATCTTTACTTACTGTGGTCTGGTCTTCCTGCTAGAATAGAAGCTCCACCAGGGCAAGGACATCTCCCCAACCCCACTGATGGATTTTTNTAGTGGGGCAAGGACATCTCCCCAACCCCACTGATGGATTTTTCCCCCTCACTAANGCTCCACCAGGGCAAGGACATCTCCCCAACCCCACTGATGGATTTTTCCCCCTCACTAAACTAGTTTTACACTGTAGGTGTTCAAAAGATATTTGTTGACTACATAAATTGCTTGATCAAAGTAAAATTTCTTAGTGATATAAAATAAGCGCAATTAATGGTGTTTCTCATTAACCGGTTAGAGTTACATGTCCTGTTATAGTATTTGGCATGTAAATGATTTCTGAGAGATAGGTAGGTTCCAGCTCTGAAACTGAAGTTTGCTGAGGAGCAGTACATTTTTAATCTTGTCTCTTATGTTCCTGTTTCCCCACTTGTATAGAGGAGAAAGAAAAAAAAAATCATACAGAAGGAAAGAGATATTGAGGTGGCAATGAATAGGGAAGGGGACCATAGTTACATCAGTGTTTATATTGTACTGATAAATGTACTGGCTAATCAAATATCTAAGCTTAGGACAAGACCAAAGACAACCAAGAACTGTGAGAAACACCATAAGTAGAGATGATCGTGAAAGTTTTGTAGTGACCAGAAAGCATGTAAGAGAAATGATTACATTGGCTTATCAAAAACATGTGTTTTCTTGTCTATTTCTTGTCTTATTTGTGTGCCATTTTCTACTCTTTAAACTCTTTCCTCTTACAGTGTAAATCATATTTTTTTATATTTTGAAATACTATGGTGGGGTTAGTGAGGGAAGCGAAAATGCACTAAGAGACCACATTCTGCAGCCAAACTTCCTGGGCTCTAATCTCAGCTTTGCTATTAACCATGCAACTACAGGCAAGTGATATACAACTCTTGACCTTACTTTTTGCATTTATACAATGGAAATAATAATAGTATACAACTGATAGAGTTGTTTTGAGGAATAACAACTCACAACAGGCAGTTCCTGTTACATAGTATTCACTCTATAAATAGTTATTTTTATATAATAATGGAGTATTTTCTGAAAAGAAAAATGTATAATTTAAAATTATTTTTTATATATTACATTTTCATAAAATGGTATTGTTCATACAATGCTAACTGAATCATGGAGGCAACATTTCATTACTGATATTTTAAAAAAACTCTTTATACATTCATTTGAATTTTCAAATTCCTATGCTAGAAAATTTATAATTTGAAATACTAGTGTCAGAGAGAGAAATACTGCAGACTGGAGTGTTGAAAGGCCTCTCTGTAGCTCATATGGTAGTATATGGGAGTAAAATAATTTCCCCTTTACTTTTCTGAGTTTTGAGTTGAGATCTCTATAATAATAATAATTTAAAAAAGCAGATTAACAAGAGAAAAAGCTCAGAAGTTTACTGACATGTATCCTCATGTATACATTGGAGATACCCAAGAAAAAATAAGTAACTCTCAGAGGTGGATTAGAACTTCATCTTAAATACCATCTTCAGCTAAACAGAAAAGAAAAAAACATGTGGGGAAGACTAGCTATAGAGAGGTTACTAGGAAAAGCAGAATAAACAAGTGTAAGATTTGTAACGTAGATTTAAGTCCCTGCTTTCTCCACGTCTAATGTTGTCTTAGAGTATGAAGAGGGACACTTCTGTAAATTTATGTCTTGCTTTTAGGCAAATAGAGGGAGAGCAAAGAGCTTTTCTTATTTCTTCGCAATTGCCTTCAATTAAAAAAAAAAAAAAAAAAAATCCCCNCAAAGAGCTTTTCTTATTTCTTCGCAATTGCCTTCAATTAAAAAAAAAAAAAAAAAAATATCCTCATCGAGCCGGTGTGGCTCAGCAGTTGAACATTGACCTAGGATCCAGGAGACTGCAGTTTGATTCCTATCAGGGGACATGCCCAGGTTGCTGGCTTGATCTCCAGTCGGGGGAGTGCAGGAGGCAGCGGATCAATTACAACTCTTTCATCATTCATGTTTCTATCTCTCTCTCTCCTTTCCTCTCTCTGAAATCAATAAAAAAAAAAAAAAAATCCTTGCCCGGCCTGGTTGAGCATCATCCTGTGCACCAAAAGGTTGCAGGTTCGATTCATGGACAGGGCACACACGTGAGTTGCAGGTGTGATCCCTAGTCAGGAGCATATGGAAGGCAACTGATAGCTGTTTCTTTTTTGCAGTCTCTCTCCCTCTCTCTCTCCCCTTCTCTTGGGCATGTCCTTGGGTGAGGATTTAATAAGAAAAAAAAATAATAAAAATTTCAAAAAATCCTTATGTGAAAGTGGCATATTTTGGGGTGGCATATTCTGCTACCCTTCCGTAGGAACTTCTCTGGGTAGCTCTTTCTCTAAGAAAGAGACACATTGTCAAGAACTATGAAGGATCTGATGTATTATCCTACTTGCAAGCTACTAAGAAGCCTGCCACACAATTTCATAAAAGTTGACAGAAGGCATGAGATTCCTCTGTTAGAGACAAAGAATTTTATTGCTCATAGCACAACAGGGAACATGAATTCAGACTCTTAGATTCCTCTTGCTCCCAAATTCCACAAGGCAAAATGGGGCTGCTAGGTGGGTGCTGCACACGCATCGAGTTTATATTAGAATGGAGGAACTTCAAGTTTAGGGAAGTCCTGCTAGCAAACCTGGAAGGGAGGGATGATCTTTGTTATCCTGCAACAAATCTCTCTGGCCTTGAAGGAAATAGTATCCCTATCTTGGAAACTATAAAGTGTAAAAATGCAAGAGAGCCACGGAGACTTAACTCCCAGCATAACACAAATCTAATGCATCAGCAAGGCTATTATGATGAAAAGAAGATGCACAGAAATTCTGCCAGAGATTTAGACTAATATTGTAAATGTAAAGACGTCAGTGTGTTCAATGTGCTAGACCTCAATGTGAATATATAGCTAATCAATTAGAACAAACTTTGCAACAATTTGTTTTGCTTTGTGCTGCTTCATCACTTGATACTTTAATGAGCCATATGTTTTAATGAGTCATATGTTTCCTCTTATCATATAAGTTTTACCACTCCACTCTATACTTATTTACGCCAATAATTTAATCTTATTGGCTAAATTATTTTTGTGTTAGAAGAACTAACACACTTTCTCAAGAGTGGCTTGTACCTTAGCAATCTTCCTTTCTCTCTGCCTCTTCCTGATAAAATTAGGTTTCACAAGGTTCAACGTGTTCCTCCTGTGGTGTAGCTGAGCAATAATTACTCAGCTTTGCAAGGTTTATTTCCTCTGCTAATAACACTTTCCCCCTCACGTCCTTATTTTTAAGGTACTTTTTAGAGATTGTTTTATTCAGAAATAACTCAAAATAATATCATTCTGGTCTTTTGTTTGTTTTTTGTTTTCTTGGAGATTATTTTTGTTTTATTATTTGTGCTTTCCTGTACAGACTGATTTCTTTTTTTAATTTTTTTAATTTTTATTTTTTGTTCAAAATATTACAGATGTTTGTTTTTTAAGCAAAAGCTACAGCTGTCCTGTACTGTGTGTGTGCTGTCCTTTTAAAGCTGGAGCTACAGCATTCATTTGAGTTCTACAGAAAAGCAAATCTGTCAACTACTATTACTTAATAAGTCAATAATTGAGCATTTAACTTTTTGCCGAGTGAGGACGTCTTGTGCAATATTTAAGACATACTTATTATAAGAATTCATTGTTTACTTGAAAATGAAATTGAACTGGACATCCTGTATTTTTATTTGCTAAATCTGGCAACTCTAGTTACTGTTTATCTACTACACAAACTACAAATAACCTTTTGGTAAAATCTGACGCCAAATGGTTTTAGCCCGCGAGCACTCCCCTTGGCGCAGAGGTCAAGGTTTCAAAATTTTGACTATATGGCATCAACGCTATTCAAACATACACGTGAATAACTCTGCGAGTTTTTAAAGTCATAGATGTATATTTGGAAGTCCGCCATCAAAAAAGTAGGGGAGCAGGTTAAAAGAACTCACCACCGGTGCGGGATTCCCAACGAAACCGAAGTCGGCCGGGCTCTTCCCAAGCGGACGGCGGATTTCTTCCAGGTTTCGTGAGGAGAGCGCGCGAGACCCAAGTGAGCCAATAGGAGCCGAGCAAGAGAAAAACTGGGCGCGTAAAGCCAATCAGAGACGAGATGGGTGGGTCTTAGCTTCTGGAAAGGGGCGGGCCCCGACAGTAGGCTCCCAAGGGCGGGACTCAGCCAATCGGAACCGAGCAGGGCGGGGCTGCACTCATCTGGGAGCCGTCCCGGGGAAGCAAACTGCTAGCGCCGCGTTCAGCGTCACCTGTGCCGGTACCTGCGCCTACGCTTGTACCGCGAAGGGCGGACGCAGACTCCAGGGGTGCGGAGGGACGGGGTGGCGCTCGCCCCGCGCATCATGGCCTACCCGGGATACGGAGGAGGGGTGAGTCCTGGCCGCCCGGCC